TCCAATGATGAATGTCATTATATTGTATACCTAAAATGTACCAATAAAAGGATATACAAAAAAAAAAAAAGAATATACCAGGCAAATGGCCTTATCCATTACAATCGAAAATGGGCACATATAAAAGTTTTGGATATTGGTCATTATGTAAGGATTAAAAGCATAATTGTTTCCTGTTAAATGAAACTGTATGTTTATGTTTCCTTAAATATAAATATAACTTCATCATATAACAAAATTCACCCAAGATGTGAATTTGCTGTAACTGTCTTCTGAGTGAGATACTAGTCTAGTGGGACTAATTGTCCCATTTTTCCTGGTACTAAATGTTTTCTCAGGACTCAGGACATTTAGTGCTAGAACTGGGAAAGTTTAAGGCAGACTGGGCAGAGTCAGTCACTATAATTATGTCACAGGTATTGCTGTCCTGGATAGAGATTTTAGTCTATTTATTTCTACTAATTTGTTACAGACTTGGGAAGCCCACAGTAACCTCTTTCAGGCAAAAAGAGAGTCTGATGAATTAAAAGTAAATAGATCAGGACCGGGGATTTAGCTCAGTGGTTTCACTGCCTGCTCGATCCCCAGTACCAAAAGAAAAAAAAACACAAAGAAAAAAGTAAATAGATCTAATGTTATTAGCAATACTATTTATTATCATTAGAATGTGAAACCAATTTAAATATTTTTCAGCTATTGAGCAGATAAATGAAATGTAGTATATTCTTACAGTAAAATATTATTCAGCAATAAAACAGAATGAAATACAGACATGAGCTACCACATGGGTAAACTAAAGACATTTTGCTAAGTAAAAAGAGCGAGGCAGGAAGGTCACATATTGTTTGATTGTTTACATGAAATGTCTAGAATAGGCAAATCCAGAGACAGATAGTAGATCAGTGATGCTGGGGGCAGGGGCTGAGGAGGCCTGGGAGTAGCAAGAGTTTCTTATCTGCGTGATAGAAATATTCTGGTTGTGCAACCGTGTAAAATATTCTAAGAGCTACTGGGTAGCACACTCTAAATAGGTGAATCAACTGATGCTCAATAAAGCTGTTTAGGAATCAACAGGCCCTTGGTGTCATGCTGTCAGAGAGATGGTCCACACAAAGGCTGGTGACAAGGAAGGCGACAGGAAAAACTGGTTTATTGTCATACCTTCCACGATTAACTCCTTTCAGATCTACAAACTGTAGAATCCATTAACTAAGAAATGATTTAAGAGCCTAAGGGAGCATCAATTTCATGTGCAACCTTTGCTTGGGTAGAGAGTGAAGATTTAGTGCCAGCTGAATCCAGATTTGATTCCTGGCTGCATCACGTAAAGGTTCCAGCCTCAGTTTCCTTGCCTGTCCACTGGTTTTGATAACAGTGAGTATGGAGGTGATTTGTGAAGAATAGGCTCCTAGTGGCTGTTGTTGGTGATCACCTTACTTGCCCTGCTGCTGCTGGGCCCTGACCAAGTGCTGAGTCAGGGGAGGAGGGAAGCCTCCTCCTCCCCTTGGCCTTGGCTGTGGCCAGCTGTGTTGAGGGCTCCTTGGAGCTGCCGTCCATCAGAAATTCACACTGGTGGGTTGGTACTGGGAAGGCTTTCTGCCCCAGACTCTCCAGGTGAGGTCAGGGCTTTGAGTGTCAGACTTCATGCATCTCCCAAGGTCAGACGAGCTGAGGAATGATGTCCTCAGGAGTCTCCTTCCTGCAGGACATGCTCCTTTCTCCTCATACCACATATTCTCCCTTCATCTGTGTTTTATTTTATGATGCATACTACTATCTTTTGCTCTATACTTACATGAAATACTTTTTATAGTACTCCAAAGCATGGGCAATTAGAACAGGATGTAAGGCCTAGTAGTAACAAACTATTTCAGTTACCTTTATCACTGCTTTTCCCTATGTGACCAAATCACTTTTTTTTTTTTTTTTTTTTACCAGCAGGCAGCTGGCACCACTCCAAGGTGCTCACTCACCGGGCTGCTCCTGGGACTGGCTTGCCCAGTGCTTCCGTGAGGCAAGCAGACACTTAGGCAGGGCTGGGGCTCTGTGTGGTGCTTGTCACTGTCACTGCCATGCCACATTCTCCCTTAATATTCCTTTCTCCAAAGTCTTGGAGGTGATAAATGGATGCAGGAAAAATGAAATGTTTTTAAGATGCCTTTGCACGACCTCCACTCGGGCACCCAGTTCGACATAAGTGCCCCACTGATTGTGCGTGGTGCTTGCCGCAAAGCCACCCTGTGGGGCCATCAGTTCTGGGCAAGTTGGAGTTCCTGGCCAGAGTATCAGCCAGCGTCTTGAAATTTCAGAAGGGCAAAGCAAAGACAGCTGTGGCCACCACCGTCTGTTCCGGTGCTAGGGCAGGGTGGGAGAGGGGTAGAGGGCAAATGTGCATTGGGTCCTGATTCCTCCTGCGCAAGTCGGAGGAAATCATGCAGAACTCACCTACTAGGAACGCAGAGACCTCAGACTGAGCTAAAACTGACAGAAGAATGAAGAAAATTGCCTGGGATCAAAGCAGCCCAAGAAACCTGCTGAACCTGTACTTCCAGTAGGACCCATTGTTACAATTTGCTATTATGTTTAACTCTGAAAAATCTTTGTGAAAATTCATAGAATGTAAGGACATTCTTTTAATAGTTAACAGTAATAGCTGGTTACACATACACAGAGCCTAAACTACAGTGAATGCCATGTTAATCTAGTTAATCACTATTTATTGAATGGTTATTTTTTTTCCCATTAAGTTTATTGGTACATTTTCGGTATAAAATACAGTTACATTCATCATTGGGATCTTGTACCTTTACGTAAGTATCTTGTTTCTTATTTTTTTCCCCTTCCCTTGCCCACCCTTCACCCC